ATTTGACCAGGACACTGGGGTAACACCCCTACTCTTCTCGAGAAACACCCCGGGATTGTTAATGACCTCAGAGAGTCAGGACCTCGGTTTTATGTCTCATCTGAAGGACGGCGACTGTTTACAGTATAGTGTCCCCGTCACTGTACTGGGGCATTAGGACCCACACAGACCCCAGGGTGAGCGCCCCCTACTGGCCACACTAACACCTCTCCCAGCAGCAGCCTCAGCTCTCCCAGGAGTCTCCCCTCCAGGTACTGGCCAGGCTCTCACTGCTGGGCTCCAGTGGGGCTGCCAGCTGCAGGGTTATATGGCAGCAACAGGAGCAACTCTTCCATCCCGCCTGGCTCCCTGTGTCCCTGGAGCGGGTGAGGGGCTCCAGCCTGCTGCGTCACCCACCAGGAACCAGCGGCGTCCCGGCTCTGAAGGATGGAAGCTCAATCGGAATTGGCCCTTTCAGTCATGGTGGTAAAACAGATGCCAGAAGGTGGAAAAGAAAATGAGTAACAGTAACAGTACTGAGTGGGCCTGCCGTGCCCCCGTCAAGGGGTCCCCCGCCTGGCCAGCTGGCAGGGGTCCCGCCTCAGCGGCGCTCTGCCGAGAACAGGGACCCCCGCTCACAGGGCCGGACCCGGGAGGCGGGCCGACTCGCGCCCGTGCGAGGGCTCAGCGGCGTGCCGGAGGGGTGCAGCGTCCCCACTCTCCCGCCTGGAGCAGACTGCGCGTGGGTGCGGAGCTGAGGACCAGCCCCTCGCCTCTGCCCTGGTCGGGCCGCGGTGCGTGTGAGCGCCACCGGACACGCGCCCGAGTCCGCGTCTCCGCCGTCCCGGGGCCGGGAGCGCTCCTGTGCCGCCCTGGCGCCAGCGCGGCAGTCTGGGTAGAGAGGGATTTGCGCTGTCAGAAGGAGAGAGGGCTGAGCGCTGATGGCTAAAGCCTCTTTCTCGGCTGACAGCACAGCAGGCAGGAGGACAGGCGGAGCGCACCGGGCCGGAAAGGCCATCTCCTCGTCTCCCGCTGGACTGGGGGAGCGGGGGCATCATCGTTCCTCTCTGATCGCCCCCTCGCCCGTTTGCCCCCCTGCAGCTCGTGCCCTTCAGGTGCAGGACACATGAGCAGACGACAACTAGAAAGAGCGCAGAAGATGAGAAAAACAAGGTAGCAGCTGTAAGTCATCCAGTTTAGAAAGACAACGTTAATCAGTGTGTGAGATAGATACAGTGGTGCTAGAAAGCTTGTGAACCCTTTAGGATTTTCTGAATTTCTGCATAAATTTAACCTAAAATGTGATCAGATCTTCATCCAAGACATAAAAATAGTCAGAAAATCCTAAAGGGTTCACAAACTTTCTAGCACCACTGTACATAAGACATAAGCATAATAAAAAAATTAAGGATTACAGTCAGTTGTCCAAATACATCAGGTTAAAATCAGATTAATTTAGTTCTTTTATGCTTAAATCTGGGTAGTCAGAACAGGCGCCCTGATGGATGGAGTTCAAATTCGCTGTGCAAACTCAGTCTGCCACAGTGCTGCACCTGTGGGCCTCAGAGCACTGCGCCGTCTAGAATGGCGCCCCCCACGCTTGTTGTATCGTGGGCTTTCAATCTTTCTACTTGTAAATGTGTGTGTCTATCCCATGTGAGGACATCCGGCGTCCCTGTGCTGCAGCGCGGGCGCCTGTAAACAGGACGCTGTGTTTCTCTGTGGTTCAGCAACAGCTGCAGGCGTACGTGTCCTGGGTGAACTCCCAGCTGAGGAGGAGGCCGGGGCTGCAGCCTGTCCAGGACCTGAGGCGGGACCTGCGGGACGGGGTCGTCCTGGCCCACCTCGTCGAGATCGTGGGTGAGTCCCCGTCACGCGCCGCCGCGCCGCGCCGCGCCGCGCGCTCCGAGTCTTCCTGGCTCTGCGTCACGCTCCAGTGTCGTGCGCTTCCCCCCCCCAGCGGGCGAGCTCCTGGAGGGCGTCCACTACAGCCCAGCCGACCCCCAGGAGATGCGGGAGAACGTGGAGAAGGTCCTGCAGTTTGTCGCCTCCAAGCGCATCCG